GGAAAGGATCGACGGATAGGAAAGGACCGGATAGACGCGACGGAAGGACGGCATAGACTGACGGTAGAGACGACGGTGGAGGGACGATGGACGAGATAGAGTGACGAAGGAATCGCACGGGACGGAATGACGGATAGACGGACGTAATAGGACGAGGATGAACGGATGGGCGTAAAAAGTTCAGACAGACATACACGCGATCCAATAACGGCTCGCCCCATCACATATAGTGTCCGCTCGTCGTACCACCATTACTACTCGTCTACACCTACTTGTCCTCCCTCCCCCACTCTCCTCTCCACCCTCTCACGCTCACCGCTTCCCATCGACGCCCCTCCCCACCTCTCACACTCCCACGCCTCCCTACCTCTCTACGCCCACCGCCTCTCCGCCCACCGTCTGCCACCCACCGCTCACGCATCCTCCTTCACCGTCCCACCGCACTTTCTCACGCCCCACGCTCACACTCTCACGCCCACCGCTCCCCACCTCTCACACCCCACCGCTCCCCACCCTCACGCCCCACCGTCTGCCACACCTCTCACGCCCCACTGCTCACTTTTAACCTCTCACGCCCCACCGCTCACCACCTCTCACGCCCCACCGCTCCCCACCTCTCACGCCCCACCGCTCACCACCTCTCACGCCCCACCGCTCACCATCTCTCACGGCCCACCGCTCATCGCCTCAAACCTCACCTCCCATATCCCACCGCTCACCACCTCTCACTTCTCCCCACCTTTCACGCCTCGCCTCTTCCCACCTCTTACCTCTCCCCACCCACCTCTCAGGCTCCGCCACTCACCGCCTCTCACCTCACCTACCACAACCCGCCGTCTCTCCAAACGCACGGTGATTGAATTTCGGATATCATCGCAATCTCGCGAGGACAGGAGCTCTTTTATTTTTCGTTTCACGTGCATAATATACTTGGCAATAATTCAGGTCTGCTTCTGAGCTGTTTATGCTTGTTATTTGATCTGTTTGCTCAGGAAAGAGAAGCCAGAGACGCACGTCTGCTTTCCAGGCGGTACTCGCTAGCTGCGATGGCTTCGTGGCAGAAGAGATTAAATATAAAGATGAATTGCCACGAAGGTTCTGCCGCCGGTTGCAGATGAAATCTCGTAAAAATATTAATCGCAATTCTAACGGTTCGTGTTTGTCTTTTCGACGGTTTATTTCCTGGTGCATAATTGTAACGTAATTAGAAAGAGTAATTGTGGGGGCGAGTGATGTGAACGGCGTTTTCCTGTCTGTCGCTTTTCGGTAGGGGTGTGCGTGACGTCAGCAATAGCTGTGTACACAGCTATACACTATCCGAGACTGAGAGAAAGGTGATCCTGAGTTAGGTATATATAACTATAGTTATAGGTTATAGTTATAGGTATAGGTATAGGTATAGGTAACTATAGTTTCTTTCTGGCGTAGTGCGAGCCATGGACGCCATTCAGTTTAACCGTTTTTCCTGGTCGCGTATAGTACTTCAATTTATTATTGGCGCAGTGCTCGCACTTATAAGCTGTGACAAAGACAAATGAAATTCTTGCAAATAAATCGTTGAGGTTATATACCTGACACGCCGAGTCGCCACGTCATTAATGTCACGTTGTTGAACTGGCTACAGCTAAAAGCCTTCTAAGTCACGTCGCGTCGAGCTGCGCTTTAGTTTGATCTCGTCCACGACTGATGCTCCTTGCCGCCGCTGTCTTGGCGAGATTTCGCCCTGTCGAAATTTTCCGATTCGAATTTCACCCACGTCGCCTGGCCAGGCGGAGGAAGATTGATAGCGTACGGGGTGATCGCCGAAGCTTCAGTAACCCCGTCACCTGGCGATGTTGGTCGTAATGAGGTGGTAACGATTTTCCGCCAAATAGCGTTTAACGAACGATTGCGATGTCGTATGAGGAGCGCGGGTTCCGCGTAGGGCGTTTGTCATGTTAGGCGGCAGCGATGATGACGTCACGCGAATAACCCCGAAAAAGTGCACAAGTTTGACCGTAATTTATTTTTACTTTTTTATTTAATATTTATTTATTTATTTATTTATTTAATAATATGTTTATTTATTTGTTTATCTATCTATTTATTTATTTACTTATTCGTTCATTTATTCGTTTATTTTTCTGTCCGAGGAATTATTATGAATTAATTGGACTCGCGTGAGACAGACACATGATTATGAGTCTATTCGACGTAGACTGACGCTTTCGTTATCGCGCAGACCCCTACCAGAGTTACCGCTCGACGGCAAACAAGAAACTTTCGTCTGCCTAATATTAAAATGAACTCATTCTGCTGTCATCTAGAACCACACGCCGTTGTGCTGTTAGTTAATTAAGCTACTAAGCTAGATGGGGAGAATGTAATAACCCAAATTAATAACCGTAGACGTGTACCTAGCCATAGTCTCAAGTATTCGATAGCAGAGAGGAACAATATTATGAACGGACCGACGTGAATTACGCGGTAAAATCACATATTGAGTCTAGACTAAGTGCATATTTGAGGCGTAACCTTCACTCGGTGTCCTGTCCCTCACCGATATCAGTGAGGTACGGTCTCGAGAAGGCTCGCGCTTCGCGGTATATCCAGACTGTATATTGCGCTGTATTGCACGCCGACGTCTCTGATGATGCAATGGCAGCTTCGTGCTGTGTCATCACAGCGTAACCTTCTCGTGCCGTAATCGGAAACACGGGACTTATCATATGACACGGGTGAACTTTAGCGTCCGATTTCAAATTCTATTCGGAATATATGAGCGCCGTAATTAGTCGTTAATTAATGTGACGTTGTAAAGCGAACCCGCGAAGCCGTGCAATTAACCTGTCGTGGTTACGTACGTGGCGGTGAGTCGGTTCGCCCAGCCTATGGACAATTACACGCCGTCGAGTCACGTCACCAATATCGCGCGCGCGAAACGATGCGGTCGCAATATGCTCTCGCTGCAAAAACGAATGAAAATGAGAAATGAAATGAATTCAGACAAAAACGCCATGCATTATGCTAATTATGATCTCGTCTGGCTGCGACATTTCGCGCTAATTGTGTCACGTGATCGTCTGCGACATTTCGCGCCGATTATGTCACTCGATCGTCAGTTGTCATTGTCTGTAGAGATTATGCCCGTCACCGGTAATGGGTTACGGTTAGAGTTACAGGTGGGGGTCAGGATCACGGTTAGATTAATGGTTAGTGTTAGGGTTGCGTTTATATTTAGAGATAAAGGTGCGGTTAGCATTAGGATTATGGTTAACGTTAGGACAGTATTTAGAGTTCGAGGCGCGGTTATGCTATTTGGGTTAGGATTAGGGTTGGTGTTAAGGTTAGGCTTATGGTTAGTGTTAAACAAAGAGTTGCGTTTATAGTTAAAGGCATCGTTAGGATGATGATTAAGTTTAGGTTCTGATTTCAAGCAGTGTTTAGAGGTAGATGAATGGTGAGGATTAGGGATAGTGTTAGGGATGCGTATAGAGATACAGGTGCGGTTATGATATTTGGGTTAATTGGGATTAGGGTTGGAGTGTAGGTTGCGTTTAGTGTTAAAGGTGTCGTCAGGTTTAGGATTATGGTGAGAGCTATGGACTTGGGGTTTCTTTTTGAGCTATATTGGTGGTTAGGATCTTTTTAGGGTTAAAGTTAGAGTTACGTTTAGAGTTAAGATATTGTGAGTGGTTAGAGGTGGCTAAGATATTTGGGTCAGGTTTATGGTTAAAGTTGGGGTTACGTTTATAATTAAAGGTGTGGTTAGGATGTTTCGGATAAGGTTACGGTTAGAGTTAGGGATACTTTTAGAGTTAGAAATGCGTTCATGATATTAGGTTTATGATTAGCACAGTTGCCGAGCGCAGGTGCGTGTGCACGCACGCGCCAGTATAGCAGCGGTAAACAGACGGTTTGTTCCCACCACATCCAGCAATCTAATGACAGCGTCACCGTTGCTTACGGATCATAACTAGATGAGACGACCGCCGTTAATTCGCGCACAAAGCCAAATGAGTTTAGCAAAAAGCTCTTTGATGCGCGCGTTATCAAAGACGTGCTCTTTATGAAAACCTGTCCGTGTCTCTTCTACCGATCGGGCTTCCATTGAGGGCAAGCGCGCGAGGTTTTCGTGCCGAGGTTTAATTGGCTGTGATGTCCTTCCTGGTCTCCTCGATTCACGAAGAACAGTTTATAATTACCTACGTGTAGCGTGTAGTGTGTGTACACGTGCGGTGCGTGGTGTGTCGCTGGGTCGTTGCTGAACGCTCGTTGCAACAGTTTCCACAAGACGCGCTTCTATAAACGAAACGCTCCAGCGCTTCTGTAGAAGTCGTAATTGTTATTATTATATATTTATGCATTTATCCATAAAGTGCTAAAGTATTTCGTATAGATTTTCCTACGAAAACATATCCTTGCAGTAGAAGATCGCGGCAAATTCTCGTCGCAAGGTCTACTCCCGCGTTATCATAAAAAATCTTCGCGTGAACTAGCGCTCACTAGTGCCAACATAGTGGCCATAGTGGCCATAGTGGCCAACATAGTGCCAACATAGTGCCAACATAGTGCCAACATACATGGCTCTCACCATGTACTACTACTACTCAGTCAAGATGTCAGTTCGTGGTTAGTTTTGTGTGCGGGGCTCTATCGTGCGCGCTCTGGCCGCGGTGTAGTAGAGCCAGTAGTAGTAGTAGTAGCCAGCCGTGCTGCCGCGGTAGTCCACCACCGCTATATCATCTATACACGCGCGTCGACGAGGTCGCCACTCCTCTCATGTCAAAAGCCACGGCAGACGCACTGCTTCCGCGAGGATGTTTAGCTCTAGGATTTTTTCTCTTTTTTTCTCTCTCGTCTCTTACGAGAGCCCAGACCCTCTCATAACTTAAGATTAAGATGAAAATAACACATTTACACAAAGAATTGTAATTATTGTGATATTATATTTTATATTAATGAATGAAATGTTTGTTTTTAATGAAAAATACATCAGAAAACTTACTTATCTACCGATCATAAACTAAAAGAAATACAGTATTTACAAATGGCGTTTGTTCTCTTGTTTTAAAGGTTTGTTGAGTCAAAACAAATCAATGCAGTCAATCAGAGGAGCTCAAAACTCTGCAATGGATATAACGTGTAGGGAAAAAAAATTCGCCTCCCGCGAGTCTCGAGTGTTAACGCGACGTCGGCGTCGTTAGTAAATATCAGCAGCGTGCCAGCCCTAGGGTCCCTATATACAGAGAGTTGCACCAACTCAGGATTTGACTCCATGTTGTTTCCAAATGTATCCAAGCTGCCGCTTAAGTACAGCGCTGTATGGATACGCTGTACAATGGTCCGTAGTAATTAATTAGACTAATCGTGCTTCAAAAAACTCAAAATT